ACCTTCCTCGTGAATGCTGCGGAGATTAGTGATGCAGAAATGCAGCTAGAAATACATGACATCCAGGCCAACTCTTCTCTTCAAGCATTCTTTGCCAACCACTGTCTTGCTGCACTTTATGGGAGAGTGGACAAGGAAAAGCTACCACACATTCATCACAATGCACGTTTTTGGGCTGTTCAGTTTGGAAGTACTTATGTGTGTGAACAGTCATTCTCTCGGATGAAGATAAATAAATCTAAGTACCAAATCCGTATTACTGATAAGCACTTGGATGCCATCCTCCGACTAGGAATATCACCTTTGCAGCCAAATATAGAAAAACCAGTGGAAGAAAAATGTTTGCACTGAAGTGGAAAATGAGGTCAAAGTTGTGAGTTGCATGATAGTTCTTGTTCTGCTTGTACATAAGTCATAACATAACTGTCAAACCAAAATTGAGCTCTTAAGTTTCAAAACTCAAATGGAATTCTATGATAAATTGTAGTCTCAAAATAATGCATATGCCTTTTGCTATCCTATTACTGGCATTAATCATGTTTATTAAGTAAGATAAATTTTACATACTTAAGATCAGACAAACCCAAATGAGGTATTCCTGGTAAGCCAGGTAAGGCAATGTGTGAAGCTGTAAACTTCAATTCTGCAAATATGTGTTATAGCACTTCTGTTGGCCCTGAAGAGGGTAACTAAAATAAGAATTGGCCCTCGAAAGGTTTCGAGTTTGACACCACTGCTCTAAAGACAGGGAAGAATTTGTTTACTACTGAAAGTGCAGATACAGTCTCTCCTCGACTTATGACGGGGTTCATGACCGACGACCAGGTCGTAAGTTGAATTGGTCGTAAGTCGAAAATGCGAAAATAATACATAGAAATTCTAAAATGAAATACGGTACAGTAAAAGTAATCAATAATGAAAAATGAATATAGTGTTACTGTGCACTTACCTTTAACGTAGTCAGCTGAATGCACACAGGGCCTCAATAATTTTTTAATTAAACATGGAGACTACATTAATTGGATGAAGCAGAGGAGGAGAGAGGGCTGGGTGGGTCATCAATTTCTCTTTCTTCAGACAGGCTAACATACTTGCTGGTTGAAGGTATTGGATCATCCTTAGGGAGTGAAGAGGCAGCAGAGGTGGGGCGTGAGGAGACAGCAGTGGGGGACTTCTTAAAATATATGTCCAATTTAGACTGCACAGTTTGCCTTTTCTTTTCATTGTAAATCTCCCTGTAGCAAGCAAGTGCATCTTGGATCAGTCTGTCAACTTTTGCAAAACACTCAACATTTTGATCCATTTCTTCAAACATTTGCATCCCCTTATAAATCGTAGCACATGCCTCTGCCTTGTCCTTCAAAATTGTTGATATCATTGAGTGAGAGAAGCCTAGGTCGCGTGAAATGGTTGCTACCATTTTTCCATTTTCATATTGCATTATTATTTTCATTTTCATCTCAAAAATAATTGACTGTCTCCTTTTCTTATCAGCACCACGAGAACTATCACTTTTACGCTTGCCAGCCATTTTAAAGGGAATTAGAAACAAAAATTTTGTCAGTACACTAACATCAACGACGGCCAAACACCAACTGAGCTGGCTACGGCGTGGATGCTGTACACCACGAGGCGGCCCAGCCCACGCTGTCGTACGGGATGGAAACGTTTCGGTACTAGAAAATACGTAATTTGAAAAATATTTTATACGACTACGGCGGTCGTATGCCTGGGTTGTCGCAAGTCGAGTAGGTCGTATGTCGAGGAGTACCTGTATATCATTGTGGGAAATACAGAAAATGTATGGGGTACACAGGAAACTGTTATACTGTACCTATACAGTATGCTGTCCAAAGTTTTGATAGGAAGAGTGAAGCATGAGTTAGTGGGAGTGTCCGGCTGAAACACAAAATTTTTTAATAATAATTGATCAATCAATAACAATTTCTTGTCAGCAATTAAGGACACATGTTACATTGTTACTATACCCCTGAATTGGTTCTGCATAATCCATGATATCTAATTTTTCCCTTATATTCTTATCAATTTTCAAAATCCTACTTCTCTATAATTTCTCGCTAAATTACATTGAAATTCATATGGAATATAAGTAATTTATTCTTATTGAACGTAACATATAGATATTTCTGATAATCGCTTTTGGATTGAGTGGATGAATTTTTTTTCCTAACTTACCATTTTTTTCTCCAAATATTTATTAAGATAAATCAGCAAATAGTAAACAAAACCAAATATAAAGAAAATTTATATGTTACGCAACGCACAGTATGTTATTCTACTACTACTTACTTTTTGTTTTATTAGAATCGGCCCATAAATGGCCAAACCTTAGGGATTTGAAGGTTAGAAAAACTCGTTCTGAGATACGGGCCAATAAAGGTGGCCTGAGAGCAACTCACGATCATACCTCACTTTCGCATGTTTGATGGGTCACTGACTTTCATGACGATGGTCTCCTGTGGTTAGTTAGCTGGGAAAGGTGTCAGATGCTGATTGTTATCAAGTGATTGGTATTACACCGTTTCACATATACATTGAAACATTGTTATATACCTATATGATATATTTCATAACCGAATGACAGAACACATATCGAATGACTTTCTAATATAACTGTTCGTTCATGCTAACGGAAATGATTGAAATAAGTTATGAAATTGACAGATGTGAACAATAAAACGACAGTCTGCATATGGTTTGAGAATGTAACAATTGGAGAATGACATACCACCATAGGATTTTGACAAACAACATAACTACCATACCCCTTGGTACATTTTACACAGGACGGTCATTTTACACTGAGGGGTTGACCACCCGAAACCATGAAACATCAATCGAAACAGTGGTATGTACCGGAGATTCAGTGAAACAATGAATATGAGGTGACTTGGTACAGTGCATAGTAGGTCTGCCACACTTCAGAAGCATCCTGCTATGCCTTGCAGATGATATCGTCGGGTGTCAGACGAAAATCGTGATAGAATAATTACTCAATATGAAGCTGGAGAGGATTTTCTGGACACTGCTGCCGAGCTACGAATTCCAAGAACCACAGCATATGAAATAATTCGCAAGTTTGTTTTGACAGGAGAAAGACGGGGCCGGCATGGAGGAGGAGGACGACCACCTGTGTTGGATGAAGAGGCAAAGAACTTTTTGGTGATGCTTGTTGAGGCTACACCAATGATCACCATTAGAGAACTTAACCATACACTTTGGAAAACATTACCAGGCAAGCCACATGTATGCAACATGACTGTTTCTAGGGCTTTGGATGCTGAGCTTATAATCCTGAAACAGGTACACAATGTAACGGCTAATCGCAATTCAGAGGACGTGAAAACCGCTTGTGTAGCGTTTGCTCAGTACATGTATGAGGATGTCATTCATCAACATCGTGTGTACATAGATGAAACCGGCTACAACCTGGATACGTGTAGGACCTACGGCCGGGCTCCACGGGGACAACGCATCAACAGGATCATTGCAGGACAGCGTGGCAGTAAAGTGACATTGATAGCAGCTATCTCCAACCTGGCAGGCCTTTTCTATTATGAAATTTATGTAGCATCTGTGACCAAGGAAGTATTAAAAAACTTCATTACCTCGCTAGATTCTGTGCTAGGTCCTGAGACTGATGTGATTTTAATGGATAATGCACCATGTCATGCAGGAATTGAATAGGAATTTGAGGATCGTGTCATCAAGAAGCTTCCTCCAACAGGTACTGAGGATTCCCCAGTATTGATGCTACCCTTTGTTCAGCAAATTACCAGCACTCCCAGACATACTTATGGAGGTGTATTGCACGAGAGGACATCTGGGGCTGAAATCATCATTGCTAACGACCTGTCTGCAGCTTTGTAATGTAAAGGGACCTGGGTGTTGCTGAATTAATTAATTGTCGAGTTTCTGTATATATCGTTTATATACATGCACTACAGTATAGTCAAGAAATTCTGCAAGCAACATAATGTTCCATTTAACATTTTGTTGCTCCTTGATAACGCACCAGGACACTCGCCCCTATTGCTGGATCGTCACCCCAACGTAAAAGTGGTCTTCCTTCCCCCTAACACTACGTCGTTAATCCAGCCCATGAATCAAGAGTTAATTTGCAACGTCAAGGCTGCTTTCTCCACAAAGAAGTTTCGGCTCCTTAATGACTTGACCAACACCAAGGATGAATTGCGCAATGATTCATCACGCGTGGCAGCATGTGTTGCAGGCTATCCCAGGTGGGAGGCAGAGTCAACCTGTGGCAGGAGAGGCTCAGTCTGTTGCAGTGGCATTGGACCTTGCAAGAGAGGCTGCACAGAGTGTTAGAGCTGCAGGCTTCTCCGAGATCACCAACGACGACATCCTGGAGGTAATCAGGCAACCTGAGGTGACTGCCGACGAGATGTTGGAAGATGATGACGTAGGTGAGGAGGCAGGTGGTACGGCAGAAAAAGAAGAACAAAAGTTAAGTCATAGTGATGTAAAGGAGGCCATCGAGTATGTCGAGAAAGTCAAGCTCATCCTTTCAAAAGACCCAGTGAATCACCGCTATGAAGTTACCAATAACCTCGTGTTGCAATCTATGGAGCCGTATATCCAGATGTATCACGACAACATCAATGCTAGTCATCAACGTAATATTACGGAGTTCTTCGCCCGCAATCCACCACAACCACAGCCAGCCCAAGTCAGTGATAGTGACAGTGACGATATGGACTTTGAGGGGTTTGTCAGGGAGGCCCTGCAAACCTCTGTGAATAGTGATACTAGTGATTCACCGGAGGGCCACTAATCTGCCCTCTGCCTCGGAACCAGCCGCCATCCCCGTGTGCCGACCCATCTCTTCTACTAGCGTAAGTGTTAAACACCTTTATATTTGTACAGTAGTGTAGTTTTTTATTTATATATTATGTGTGTGTTTACACCATCATAAAATTAAGATGTTCTTTTTACTACAAGGTACGTATTGTGTCAGAAAAAGGGTAGTCTGGGGTCGGCTCAGTCTCTATTTAAATTAATCCCATATGTTCTGTTATTTCGTTTACGCGTTTCTCGTTTTATGCGGACCTCCACGGGTTCAATTGACCGCGTAAATCAAGACTATACTGTTCTGTATATGCCATTCAAAGCTTATGTTAATTGTCAAATATATGTGTAAAACTATCCAATCTTTTATCATCACTGTCAATATCCTTAGTGCTTTGTCAATAATTTGTAAGTCATCTGTCAAACTATTTTGTTACAGCGTCAATTCATTGCAAGGGAATGTCAAAGGATGAGACATAACGTCAAATCCATAAGTGAACTGTCCTTTATTTCGTTGAACTGTTTGAACTGTTATGTGACAAGGTGTACTTTACACCAAAATATTATTATAAATACTTTTTGACAGCTTTTCCTATGTAAACAGAATGAAGGGGGGTAGAACAAGCATGCATTACTACACAAATATTACGAATTATGCAATAAAAACAAGTCAGCATATTGCAATAGGCAACAGCTTTCCTCGGGAATTTTTCTGAATATTTTCGTAATTTTCCGGTTTTCATCATATTTTCAACCGGACACTCCCCCTAAGAATTTGTTAGAAGTAGGAGCCTAATTCCCTGTAAAAGTATATCTACATTAATGATGTGTAGTATCAGCAAGTTTGTTTACTATTTTCATGGACAAAACAATACAGTACGTACTGTAAAACAAGTGAAAGTTGAAATGATGGATGGAGGTGCAAGTTTGGTGAATAATGGTATGGCATGTGAATGGAAGGTGAGTCTGCACGTGTTTGCATGGCATTGTCTTCATGGGCATTTCAGAATAAAGGTTATCAAATATTAGCGAGTAAGTTCAAAAGAGTGTTTGCTACGAAAAGGTTGATAGTGAGAGTGGAAAAAAAGTGCTGAAAATATAGAGAAGGATAAGAATACAAAATATTACCTTGAAGGGCTAGAATGGATGAAGTAGAATGTTTCTGAGATCTGGGAGTGGACTTGTCAGCAAATGGAATGTAAATGATGTATCATAGAGAAGTGGAAGGATGGGGTAATGGTTGAACTGGTAGTGAGGAGATTGGACATGGAGTATCATATCAGACCATTTTTTACTGCAGTTATAATGATTGAATGACAACTAATGCTGGGAAAATGTTTATGTATATCTGCTTTTATTTCTGGCCACGATGCATAAACCAGAGAAAGCTTAAAAAACATAATGAATTTTATACACAAAAAGTATGGTAGCTAGAAACAATGAATAACAGAGTCTAGACTGGTCTTGACTTCTCACCACCTTAAGCAATAACAGAATAGGGCTTGTGAATAAAAAATAAAAACAAAAGCCAGGTTATGTCAAACCATAAATATAAAGACAAGGTACTCATCAGCAGACAAGTTCTCTGAAATAAACACTAAATTGACATCATGCGCACCCACAAAGGTTCCAGTACAATTCATGAAGGAGATGTGGCTAACATAGTTCAAGTAGTTAACCCACTACATATTAACCTGTGTGAGTGCTGATTTTAAAATATTCAAAATCTGTATATACTGTTCAGAAAAAGAAGTAAAATATATTAATAAAAGCAGACATGTCCATCCTAACAAACAATAGAAAAACTTATTAAAGCCTATTTTTTAAATATGAATAATAACAGACACCTTTAGCAGTTGGTAAGGAAGCTGAAAAAAATTATAACCAAGTTAACATAAAATTAACCATCAAAATTACTCTAAGTTTTTTAGTGAAAATGTTCAAGTGGTGAGATTCAATATTTACAAGAGACTTAACAGAAAAGATCATAACACATCCTCACAACAGCAACTGAGTATTACTCTGTCTTACATCTTCCTTGTCCTCCTCTTCCTCATCAGAGTCTTCAATTCCTTCTTCCTCATCCTCTTCATCCTCCTCTTTCAAAACACTTGCACCACTTTCTCCCCGGCCAGTTAGTGGATCAACCGCGTGTCTCCTTCTATGGCCTCTTCTCGTACGTGGCATTGCTATCGGTCGTAGTGAAAACCTCTGCATGTAGAGTGAGCCACAGTAGATCAAAAAGGTTGTGAACTGCAGGATACCCAGAAAGTAGAGATAAAAGTCAAGGTGGTTGTCATTGATGTTGCCATAGTCAGTCAAGTTGTTGAGCCAGAACGGACTTACTACGTGGAGCAGCGCCGTGCCCAAAAGGGAACCAATGCCTTCCATGGTGTAAAATAACCCCATGATCATGCCTTGGAAGGTCCGGGGGGCAGCAGAATAAGCAAATTCCAAACCTAAAAGTAGAAAATTTGATATAAAATAAAACTCTCTCTTACATCAGGACAAAGAAACAATGCAACACAACACATCTGTTACAGCATTAAGAATCAATGACAGTGAATGAAGAGAGAATCTGTAAATATTTGCTTTTGATTCTGGCCACTCTGCACTGCAGTGGATAAAGACTGGCAAAAGTGAAAAAAAATAACTATTACATAATCACTATGAAATATACAAAAAATTATTGGAATTTCAGCAAAAGTAATTTTGCATCCCACCTGCAATGCTCGCAAAGAGCTCCGCTGCTCCAACCAGAACATATTGAGGAATTTGCCAAAATATGGAAATGTTGACAGCGTTGTAAGTTACATTACCCACAATCTGCTCAATATGAGTAGAATTACTGAAACAAAATCAATTACATTATTAGTATACAAATACCAAAACTTAATATCTGTATTAAGTGCAAAGAAAAAGGGCTAAAGGTTTAAATTTTCTTTGTTATTGTCTGCATAAAGTCAGACACATGGATATAAATGCAAAAAAACATCATCATTTCAAGGTCCCTCTCAGCATGAATGGAAAGAAAAAATATCTTTGTTGTAACTTACTCAGTCCTCCAGAGGAATATTCTGTACGACTCCAGACCTCCAGCAGTCATCACGGCCAATATACTGAACACCATACCAATGCCTACATAGGAGACCAAGTTGATTTTATTCATCTAAAATTACCAAAACTTGAATACTAAAATTAGGTCATTATCAATTAACTGGCAGTTTATAGAAATATGATTCTGCTACCATACAAAGAAAAAGGACATACCAATCCTGAAAAGCATGGACATGCGTATGCCTGCTCTATCCATCACTGGATACAGAAAACTCGTCAAAAGTGGGATGGCTCCAATCAGGAATAGTTGGTTGAACAATGTAAGCCATGCAGCTGGGACCTGTCAATGAAAACAAGTTCACTAGAACCTAACTAATTCAGTCTCCATAAATTCAAAGAACAGTACTGGCTAATTTGTACATTTTTCAGCAAAATATCCAGAAGTTTCAAACAGTTTCTGGCCAATCGTATAAAAATTTTAAATTTTTACAAAATCTACCCACATGGTCCAAGAGGTCAGCAGGTTTGAACATACAGTTTCTCGTTGTGTGGGCCCACTAGGGAACCTACTCATATAATTTGATCACACTCTTTGTATACCTACCTGCTACCAACACATACCTTACTCTTTCTTTTTGGTTAATGTTAACTCCACTTAATTTGTAATAATATTTCATTAACGTCTAGTGAGTATTTACCAAATAAAAAAAAAATAATTGGGGAAAATTTTCAGTTTCAGCCCAAACTACTGTTTGACCATAATTTGTTTTTTTCCCACAGTATTTGGTCTGACTCACATGAATTTGACCTTTATTTCTGTTGCAAACGAATGGTTACTGAGTTAACCCCCCCCCCCCCACCACTAAATTGCTCTAACTGAGTTGGGGCTGAAACTGCAATACTGTAATACCAAAACGTGATTTTAAGGAATACAGTATGGTCTCAAAGCATGTGACGGTCACGTTCTGGGAACCTCGCATAAGAGGGAATTTTTGGCATAATGTATTCGGGTCCCCCTGTATATATACAGTACATATTACCCCTTATCTATACTAAAGTAGCTTTATCCAAGGTAAACAACTGAGTGAACTCCACAAACTATGTGCCCTGTACAGTAGTGAAACAGGTTTAACGATCAATGCTGTAAATGACAGTACAGCACATAAATATTATAAATCAAAATTTTATAAAAGAAAAATCAAAAGGGCTTTGCGTATCTAACTTTCATGATGTTTGAAGGAGCACACATATGACTTATTCACATGGAACCAGCATGCAACTTCAGAGATCAATATGCCACTCCTTAATAATTAAATTATCTTGACTTTTTCTTCAAAACTTCTGACTCTTCAGTATTATTTTTGGAAAAAAATTTGTTTCTAACTTATTTAGAACTCTGGTATACACATTTATTTGTATTATAAAATAATTGAGTTCCCATCATTATATAGTGTAGCAATATTTTGTTTAAAGATTCCAGTGTACGTATATGTTTATAATCAATCTTGGAGAGAATTTATTCAGAATCATTATGGTATCAAATTCATGTTTCAAACAAAATTAAAACAGATGCCATGGATAAAAGTTTATACACCTTTTTGCTAGCTGTAAATATTTACACATGTGACCCCAGCTGATAAAACAGGAGAAGGATAAGAGAATTGTACAAAGTAGAAGAGTGTTTCTTATGGCATACATTATTTCTGCAGTATAATATGTATTGATGAAAAATATAAGCACATACCGTAGTACAAATTAATACTCTTGAGGTTTTCATTAGCAAAATTGTGGGTGGGGGAACATACCTCAAAATGGCATTTTGCGGCCATTTTGAAGCCATGTGCACATGATATTAGAAAATATTCTGAAGTAAAGAGCAATTACTTTTTACAATACAAAAAAGCCTGTGTACAATACTGCATTTCCGAAAAAGTATTAGAATTTTCTGCTGAAAGGGGGTCTGAACGAACCCCCCCGAATCTGCTTTTGATACAGTAAAGCCTTGAATAACGACGTTAATGTGTCCTCCAATATTGCAGTGTAAGGTGCATTGTGTTATCACGAATCATTAATTACCATTAAAATAAAGCAATAATAATGAGATGCGTTCCCAAGTGTGATCTTTTCATATCTTTTGTGTGGATTTTTACCTTCTTTTCCCCCCAAAACAATACAATTAATGAAAATTGCAAACTATATTCTTTAAGTAATGTTTCTGAATGCACCTTATACAATATAAATGAATAATAATATAGTCACACAACTTGGTCCTCCTACAATTACATGTTACCTAAGTAGCATTAAACAAATGAATTTGACTAATTTGTATTCTATGGTTAATTCGAATGGGGGAGAGCTCGTATGACAATCAAAGTTGGTAACAGCCCTCTTAAGTATGCAAGATAAATCAGAACCGGTGTCTCACAGAACAGTAACAGGGAGAGATGGCTGGAACTGATTCCTTTTGGTCTAGGAGACCTTGCAAACAAAATGGTCAAAATGAAGGTGGTATGTTAGGAGGAGCAACTCCAGAATGTGTGTGCACTGAATTAAGTTTGTCACTGGCATGAGGGTCAAATACTGTAATTCCATTGCATTAGGGACAACACTGACATGGAGAATAGGTCTGCTTTGGCCACAGGAATTGCATTTAATGGCTAATTTTCTACAGTTAGCTATGGCATGACCAGGTTGTTTACTGCACAATAACACGGTTCGGTGTATAAGGAGTGAAAGTAACCATCTTATGAGTTACACAGTACATCAAATTGAAAAGGAAAAAAATAGTTGTCAGAATAACAAGGCAGTTGTATCCCAATCGGCTTAGGAACTATTAGTACAAATTTCTTGGGAAACCTACATTCATGCCTTTATAATTCAAGAAGCATGACAGCCCCAAATTGGGAGGGACAATTGTTTCCAAACTAATGACCATACTATCATTGAATAAATGTTTTTACACTAACCATTTACCATGAAGATGCATAAAAACAAAATGTCTAACAGAAAAACTAAACACACAAAATAAGACTACGTACTGTACTTTATCTTGCCATATTTCAAGTTGGTGGGGTAACACGTATGCATCACATGATGAACACAGATATAATAAAACATTCATATGAAGACCAAACTCACACTGAATTTTCTCATCTTGAGTTCCTCGAGCATCTGTTCCTCTGTCTCATTGGTGTGGTTCGAGCCATAAATAGAGAAGCGCATGTGCAACCCCTGGGCCTGAAAACTGGTCTCCATCTGTAAAAAAAAAAATTATGTGTACCGTAATAGCCAGATTTTTTTAATAAGCCAGTATATAAGTATAACACCAATACTATATACTCTACACAGAGATTCTGTATCAGCTACAGGCCCACTGTGCAAGCTATACAGAACAATGGGAAAATTTACTGACCATAAAGAGACATAAATTCTCAGATTACAGGATAACATATGTCAATAAACCTCTTGCAAAGTTACATCACAAAATAATTCATGAGGCACAAATCACAAGACATATAAATTTAATACTTGCCTAATAAAATGAGTAAAGGCACATGATCCTGTTAATAGAAAATTCATCTACCAGACTGCCTCGGCATCCTTTTGCTATTTTTAGATTTGCCCCACCCGCCACCCTGCCTGACTGCCTGTTTTAGCTCATAAAATTCATACAAATTACCCGGCCAGAATATAATTTACATTGCTGGAATTCTTACAATATGATGATCATTTTGAATATAAACATCATAGATTTTGCATTAGACATACAAATTTTAGATAAAATGTTTACTCTGAGTAAATATGTTATTTTTTGTGCAAAATATATGACATTTGTATTCAAAATATTCCTGGTCTTACAAGGAATCCAGCAATGTCAATTATATTATCCTAACTTTAGCTTGAGGTATTATTTATTACTAAAAAGTTAAATATTCTGGTTTTCCCACACATCTCCTTGGGACGGTTGGTGGGGGGGGGGACCGACCGACCATCTGTTACCCTGTGAAGAATATATTTTTTTTTTATTAACTGAAGATATTTGTTTTAGCTCATAAAATTCATACAAATTACCCGGTCAGAATATAATTTACATTGCTGGAATTCTTATAATTTGATGATCATTTTGAATATAAACATCATAGATTTTGCATTAGACATACAAATTTTAGATGTAATGTTTACTCTTGAGTAAATATGTTATCTTTTGTGCAAAATATATGACATTTATATTCAAAATATTCCTGGTCTTACAAGGAATCCAGCAATGTCAATTATATTATCCTAACTTTAATCTGAGGTATTATTTAATACTAAATGTTAAAATTTAGTTTTTCACCCAACATCTCTTGAAGGGAGGATTGGTGGGGGGTGGGGGGGAGGGTTGGGACTGACTGCACGGTTGGAAGAGGGGGGAAGGCAAGTTGGGGTACTTTGATTGACAGATAGTGTCGTGAAGAATATTATTTTTTTTATTAACTGAAGATACAGTGACCCCTCGTTTAACGAACGCCTCGGTTAACGAAATTTCGGTTAACCAACTGCCTTCCATAAGGATCTTCAATTCGGTTAACGAACAAAAATTTGGTTAACGAATTTCTTACGAACCGACCTCAACATGTTTTCGCTTGCACTGACCAGGCAACCAGCTTTAGTGTCAGTCCGCCAATACATTAATCGGTTCTAGGGCTTAAATTCCTTACTATTTTAGTAAATATCAAGAAGTTTATACTATTCAATAATTTTAAAAGTTTAATATTCAATTTTTTAGTCATTTTAACAATTATTGAACAAATTGAAGGTAAAGTGACTAGTTTAATGCGTGGCATCCAGCCTCTTAACACAACAAACAGGCGTTAGTCTCTCTCTGTTTTCACTGGAGGTAACATCTTGCTTGAGACTCTCTTCAACTAAACGCTTTGTTTCTGTGTTTCCAAGCAAATTATTGGTCATTTTGAAATATATTTTACATATTGACAATATATAATGCGGTGTAGTGTTGATTTAAAGAAAATAATCTTGAATTACACCAAGAGAGCTAAAATTTTATGGGTGAAATGGCACCATGGGGTGACTTCTCTTCCACCTCAATGCCTTCTCTTCTTCCTTCTCCTCCACCCCCATTCTAAATCCCATCATCATCATCATCATCATCATCCAGGAGCCTTCTACATACACACCTCAAAGTAAGTGAACCTTTCTACCATTTTTGTTGAATTTAGGAAATTTTCGGTGAGCTGGAACCAATTACCCAAAAACCCATTGAAACAATGGTTTCGGTTAACGAACTTTTCGGTTAACGAACGACCTTCTGGAACGGATTGAGTTCGTTAACCGAGGGGTCACTGTATTTGTTTTAGCTCATAAAATTCATACAAATTACCCGGCCAGAATATAATTTACATTGCTGGAATTCTTACAATTTGGTGATCATTTTGAATATAAACATCATAGATTTTGCATTAGACATACAAATTTTAGATATAAAGTTTACTCTGAGTAAATATAATATTTTTTGTGCAAAATATATGACATTTGTATTCAAAATATTCCTGGTCTTACAAGGAATCCAGCAATGTCAATTGTATTATCCTAACTTTAGTTTGAGGTATTATTTATTAAAATTTAGTGGTTTTCCCCCAAAAATTTCTCAGAGAGGGAAGAGCCAGCAGTGTAGTGTGAGAAGAGGGGGAGGGAGTTGAGTCCATTATTTGAATGGACATTAACTTGGCGACTGTATTTCTCTTAAGTATTAATTGTGTGCATGTACCATCATAAAATTAAGATGTTATTTTTACTAAAACATAATTATGTGTCGTCAAAAAGTGGAGTTTGGGGGTCGGGCCGGTTTCTATTGGAATTAATCCCATATGTTCTGTTGTTCACCTAATGCGGTTTTGGTTTTCACTTAACACGGTACCCTCTGGGTTTTATTGACACTTGTGATGAAGTGGGGTACATTTCTTATTATATATATATATATATATATATATATTATATATATATATATATATATATATTATATATATATATATATATATATATATATATATATATATATATATATATATATATATATATATATATATATATATATATATATATATATATATATATATATATATATATATATCATATATATATTATATATATCATATATATATATATATCATATATATATATATATCAGTTGTACCTTATGAAAAGTTCCCTCTGAAAAATATATTTTGGACAAAAAGATAACATAATTACCTAGAGAACAATTTTTATCTAAAAATTGTATGTTTAATGCAAAATATATGTTGTTTATATTCAAAATGATCACCAAATTATAAGAATTCCAGCAATGTAAATTATATTCTGGCCGGATAATTTGTATGAATTTTATGAGCTAAAACAAATATCTACAGTTAATAAAAAAAAAAAAATATTCTTCAACACTATCTGTCAATCAAAGTACCCCACCTTGCCTCCCCCCCTCTTCCAACCGCGTGGTCAGTCCCAACCCTCCCTCCACCCCCCACCAATCCTCCATTCAAGAGTTTTTAACATTTAGTATTAAATAATACCTCAGATTAAAGTTAGGATAATATAATTGACATTGCTGGATTCCTTGTAAGACCAGGAATATTTTGAATATAAATGTCATATATTTTGGACAAAAGATAACATAATTACCTAGAGAACAATTTTTATCTAAAAATTGTATGTTTAATGCAAAATATATGTTGTTTATATTCAAAATGATCACCAAATTATAAGAATTCCAGCAATGTAAATTATATTCTGACCGGGTAATTTGTATGAATTTTATGAGCTAAAACAAATATCTTCAGTTAATAAAAAAAAAAAAATTCTTCACTGGGTAACAGATGGTCGGTCGGTCGGTCGGTCCCTCCCTCCCCCCCACCCCCCACCAACCGTCCCAAGGAGATGTGTGGGATAACCACTAAATTTTAATAAATAATACCTCAAACTAAAGTTAGGATAATATAATTGACATTGCTGGATTCCTTGTAAGACCAGGAATATTTTGAATATAAATGTCATATATTTTGGACAAAAGATAACATAATTACCTAGAGAACAATTTTTATCTAAAAATTGTATGTTTAATGCAAAATATATGTTGTTTATATTCAAAATGATCACCAAATTATAAGAATTCCAGCAATGTAAATTATATTCTGACCGGGTAATTTGTATGAATTTTATGAGCTAAAACAAATATCTTCAGTTAATAAAAAAAAAAATAATTCTTCACAGGGTAACAGATGGTCGGTCGGTCGGTCCCTCCCTCCCCCCCACCCCCCACCAACCGTCCCAAGGAGATGTGTGGGATAACCACTAAATTTTAATAAATAATACCTCAAACTAAAGTTAGGATAATATAATTGACATTGCTGGATTCCTTGTAAGACCAGGAATATTTTGAATATAAATGTCATATATTTTGGACAAAAGATAACATAATTACCTAGAGAACAATTTTTATCTAAAAATTGTATGTTTAATGCAAAATATATGTTGTTTATATTCAAAATGATCACCAAATTATAAGAATTCCAGCAATGTAAATTATATTCTGGCTGGGTAATTTGTATGAATTTTATGAGCTAAAACAGGCAGTCAGGCAGGGTGGCGGGTGGGGGGTGGTGCGAATCTAAAAATAGCTCTCGAGCCGGACACTCACCGCGTATATGATGAAAAATGCCGCGTTAAGTGAAAGTTCAGCTTTGGCAAGGCACCGCGTATATGCGAAAACGCGTTAAGTGAAAGCGCGTTAAGCGGGGTAATACTGTATATATATATATATATATATATATATATATATATATATATATATATATATATATATATATATATATATATATATATATATATATATATATACATATATATATTACATATATATATACATATATATATATATATATATATATATATATATATATATATATATATATATATATATATATATATATATATATATATATATACACACACACACACACACACACACACACACAGTATAGTCTAGGTTTACGCGGATATTTTATACGCGTTTGGCCATTTACGCGGCACCTGGCCAGACGAGCCAATTATTAGTTACACGGTACATTCCTTAATTTACGCGGCAAGTAGCAGGCAATCTGCTGGTCGCTGACGTCACCACTGACGTCAGACTCGTGCCGATGACGTCGCGGACTGTGAATGGGTCATGTATCCTTACCACCCTCGCACCCCCTCTGCCGCGAGCTGTGATTGGTCTATTTAACTTTGCTTGCCCTGCCACCAGGGGCGATGAGTCGATGACCTTGACTGCGTCAGTCCCATTGTCACCCGTCAACAAAACATTACCAAGTTCTTCACTCACCACAGCCAGCCCAAGTCAGTGATAGTGAGGATATGGACTTTGAGGGGTTTGACAAGGAGGCCCTGCTAGCCTCTGTGGTGGATAGTGATACAATTGATACAAGTGATACAGGTGAGGGCCAATAATCTGCCCTCTGCCTCGGAACCAACCCCCCATCCCCGTGTGCCCAGCCATCTCTTCTACTAATTTAAGTGTTAAAAAACCTAATATTATTGATATTTTTCTTAAATATTAATTGTGTGTGCATACTATCATAAAATTAAGATGTTATTTGTACTACAAAGCAGGTATTGTGTCAGAAAAAGGGTAGTCTGGTGGTCGCCCCAGTCTCTATTTCAATAAATCCCATATGTTCTGTTATTTTATTTACGCGTTTCGCGTTATACGCGGACCTCCATGGGTTAAATTAGCCGCGTAATCCCAGACTATAGTGCGTGCGTGCGTGTGTGTGTGTGTGTGTGTGAAACAAAAATCCAAGAGTGGAGCAAAAGGATGCAGAGGCAGTCTGGTAGATGAATTTCATATTTACAGATACAGGTTGACCTTTGATTTTGCCGGATGATGATTTTTCCGTGATAACCTCCAATAATTAATTAAACACTTCTAACCCACTAGCTAAACACCTCACACTAACTCCTAGGATGCTAGAAAATCAATACAGTACAGTATTACAGTATCTCTCTATACCAAAATAATTGGTGAGCAGGCAGTTCAGTATAAGGAGTTTTTGGGTATAAAAAGAATCTGAAAAACTGAACTCTGTTTAGTATACAAGTATGGGACCATTTATCTGGAATGTATTAGTGTATTTAAAATGAAAGCCAAATAATTCCCAAGGCGAGTGGGGAAATTTCAACCCATTCCCCATCCTTAAGTTGTATATTAAGTTATGGTTATTTTTTAACTCAGAATTTAGGGTAAATATATGTAATTTTTGTTGTTGTTGTTGTTGTTACACAGACTATCTTACATACAAAAGGTACAAAAAATATATATATAAATATTAATAAAATTCAACAAATAAAATAAATATCGGTGATTATCATAAGGTAGATGTACTGTATGTAATTTACTTCTTCTTTTTTTACTCAGTTACATGCACACACAATCCTACATACAGAAAATGCAAAAATAAAAAAATAAAATAATTATTATAAGGTATGAAATTTTAAATACAGTATCTATGGTTTTCCACCATGAAACTGTGTGGCAAGTGTGTGGAGGTCTTACAAGAAGGTCATTCAAATACCTAGATGGTCAGTCCCTATTAACATTTTTCAAGAGTGAGGTGCTTCCTTTATCTGGAGTACTGTCACCCCATCTGGTCCCTGAGATATGCGAGAGACTGTCAGTTAATTCAAAATGTCCAAAGAAGTACCACCAGACTGGTGCCTGCACTATGGCATCTCAGTTACCCAGAGAGATTAGAACACCTGCAAATGCCTAGCTTATACTATGGGCAGGCAAGGCACGACTCAATTGAAGTTTATAAACATTTCAGAGGGCACTACTGTACTCAGTCGAGTGTCACCTTAAGCTGGTGGTCGCCCACCCCACTCAAGGTCACAGCTCAAAGTTGAAGAAAATTGTCAGGGCAAACCGTGTAGAGTGAGAATTTTAAAGTTCTGGAATAATCTGCCAGAGAATGTTGTGACGGCACTGAGTGTGAGTTCTTTCAAGACCAGATTAGACCATCACTGGTGAAGGTACAGACACATTCTGGAGCCAGTACATGCCCAGTACTTGCCAACATTGTGTAACAGAGATGTAACAGACTACCTAAGCAGCTAACTAGCTCATCAATGGCAAAGAGGGTAAAAAATAAAAGAAACTGTGGGTTTACTAAAAATGCTCTTCATTAAAGTAGATCACTTATTAAGGCACACACCAGACACACAGAGAGTGTACAAATCATGACAATACCTCTCCAGCTTTTGTTAGAGATGAAATTATAAATAAGCAAATAAAACCAAAACACCTGATACCTGAAAGTAAACCAGCCAGTAGGGTATAAGAGCAATGAAGACATTAAGCAGCTTCCCAAGTGACCGCACATCATCTACTGCTGACTCATGGAAGGAACCACCGAACCGTATCTTTGCTCTGTCCAAAAATCTTGGCTCCAAATGTAGTGGGCTGTATAGAAGAAAAGTACAAAGGATAAGAATGCTTAAGTAGAATACCTATTACCATTTCCAGATGAAATTCAATGATGACTATGTAATCCAATGGCTGAGAACAGAGGTAGTGCAGTAATGTTTTAGTAACAATCCAGTGCGGTCTAATTTTGTGCGGGTATATCGTACTGGTAAGCATCTGCGCATCAGAAATCCACTCACGCGATACCCTTTAACACGTGTTAAAATTGCTATACAGGCATTGTACTGGACTCACCAGACCGTTACTCTTGATTGACTTTGGGTAACCAACTTAACCTTCCAAAACTGATGGCAAGATTGGTGACTATATTATGTGAAGATAAATGACAGTTAGGGAGGGACCTATACAGGGCTATGGCCAGTCTATCCTTTGGTCTACAACAGCCTACTTTATCAATCTCTAAATGATCTGTAAATGACAGTATATTACATAGATGTCCCAACAAATAAACACAGACCTTACAATATCATTTTGGCAGTATTAATGCCTCGTAAGTTTCAATAATTGTGTCCCATGGCCCTGCATTGGAGGTGCACTTAATGTCTGTCAGTAGCAAACTCTTACTAATTAAGTTTAAAATGTCAGTTCTTACTGATATAAAACAGACACATAAGATTATATCAAAACCGACATCCTTTAACCTACTTACTCTAGAATTCTTTTGATAGCTGCTCTAGCTAGCCTTGACCAAACACCCACACAGTGACCCAACACTACCATAGTAACACCACCTGAATACAGTTTATATGACTATCAATCGATAGTTATACAGTGCAATCTATGAATTTTATTTTAAACGTGGAAAACTGGCAAGCATAGTATATAGACCGTATGAGGCGTTACATATACTGTACTGTAAATGCAGATAATTGTAGGCCTATATCGTGGAGAGTGGTGTGAGTGCAGTGCAGTGGTAGTGGTAGTGGTAGCAGTGGGGATCGTCTACACAGGTGTGGTCAGAGTCGTTTTTCATAAGATTGTAAGAACAAATCATGTGGTTAAAATTTAGTATATTTTGAGAAAATAAAATTACAATAAGAGATAATCGCTCAGGGACGTTTAGGAATAATTTGTGGAGTTATAACTGGACGTCAAAATGAAAAGGGTATGTGTACATTAATTGCTTGAAGCTGAAATGAATATTGAATAAAAAATATGAGTTGAGATAATACTCATAATCACCATGTTTATGCCATGGCTTTAATTAATGATTAAAGAATATACTGTACTCTGTATTCACCACCACAATTGACAATGACATAAGGCAGGAAGCATTCACAAAACAAAATTTTGAGCTCTAGATAAACTATGCTTAATTAAATGTTTCTTGATTCCTTTTCACCAAGTAATTTAAAGAAAATTAATTGTCATTTAGACTCTGAAGGAACTGTACTGTATTATTTAGAACCCAAGAATAAAATATAAAACTTTAAAGATTCCCAGTTAACAGTCATTTGTTATGAATGAAAAAAAGTAACTCGGTTAAATTACTAACTTCTATGAAACCTTATTCAACTAATAATAATTTTAGAGTAACAAATACATTTCATATTATTCTGAAATTAAAACAACTTCTAAACATGTGAAGAATAGTCTACACTAGAAGTAAGTGTTGTTGTACCACCTTGGACTGACTGTCTTTTTTTTTCCTGCACACATTTTCTTCATCTTTCAAACATGGATTGGGATATAATTCTTTTACTTTTGTTACCCGTTTTGGAGCCATTTACCTGTGAAAATAGAAAGGAGTGCCAGAAAAAAGTTAGGGAGTGAGAAATTTGGCTCAGTAGTTCATTAATATACCAGCCTACTCCAACGGCATCCCGCCCACTGGTCAGTTGGTGACTCACTTGCTGGGCTCCCGCCAAGTTGCCAAATACCGCTGTTTAAACTAATCATACTGAAAATCGTGACACCACTTCATTGGACGATTGTGCCTGTTAGTTTTCATTAGGTCTATATCAAATCTGATTAGACCACTGTACAGTATCCCCATTAAAAATAATACAGAATATATTTTAATAATAAATGAGGTAATACTGTATAAGTCTTATTGTAAGACATAAAATTGTGTTTGGTTTACCGAAGTACAAGTGCATGGTGGCGGGATAAAGAGCAGTTGTTGAGGAGCGCTTGGCATCACACCTGGTGCATGTTACCACTCCTTTCCACTCCATCTCTCTAATCACCCACACCTTTCTGCTTTCTCACTCCAGATTTTAATATGTTATGTAATGTAATGTTGAAGGGATACAATGTTGCTCATTTATAATTACACTCAGTTTTGTATGTAGATATCAGCCGTTCAATAGTGTCAGGCAGTGTTACGAAAGAACCTATAAATGCATCACCTCCTCACATCTTACCACCACCCTCATCATCCCCACTACCTCTATTATCACCACCTAAAACATAATTTCAGTGATGTAGAGATAGATTAGCTTCAACCAGAGCAGAGCTGTGTACTATCCACTGCCTTATGCCTGCCTGCCTCCTTCCCTCCCACCCACCCACCATGCAATGTGTCTCAATGACACTGCTTTTCACACTTGTTCTACTACAATCATCACTACTATTCATCAAACAACTGTATTTCATGATACAATATTGTTTATTTGTTTTTCATTAATTAGTAAAGATACATTACTGTAATAATCTGTGTTTATTAATACCTGTACCCTTCATATACAATACTGTACACCAACCTCAAAATATGAGAGTTCAACTCTCGCGAATTTGACTCCGTGAAACGACCTCAAAGGGTTTTATCTATTAAAATAACATAAAAAGTTAAGGTGCTTATTTTAAAAACCATGGGCATCCACCATGATGTGACATCAAGACATCATGCTGTATCTCGCGCGGCTGTTCTCTCCCGCTAGTCTCATCTGAGAGCAATTGTAACATTATAACTGTCATGACTCCCAAAAGGCCATTAACTGGTAGTAGTGCATATGGTGCAAAGAAAGTTAAGAAAGTCATGACTCTGACACGGAAAACTGAAGTGTTAGATAAACTTGTTAGAGGCAGGAGTGTGTCAGCGGTTGGTGGTGCACTTGACGTGAATGAGTCAACTGTTCGTTCCGTAAAGATGAAAGGCAAGGAAATTAGAACTAGTGTTGCTCATAGTGCACCAGTGCTAAAGTTATACATCAGATCTGTGATAAAGGTATAGAGAAGATGGGGAAGGCACTAAGTGTATGGACAGGATTCAGGTGTACCAAAAATTTAACAGATATAATTTGCAACAATGACCCATCAATGGAATTAAGCATCAAAATTTAGCGGCATAATGAGAATGTTTTACAGCCTTATCAAGAAATTTATAAAGAATTAAAACAAAGCCAAACAATTGCCAATAACACTGATTTTAACCCCAAGATCCAACCCCTGCCCCCTCCCTCCACTCCCGTCTTTCTCCTCACCAACTAACCCAGCGTCGTCTGCATCACCCTCTGCCACCTCACGAATTACTCACAAGCCAGCCCTTCATCAAACATTCTGGATGATCCCAGTCCAGAGGTCTTAAAGGAGCAGTAATATTTTCAGTATCATTACTGAGGACTCTAAAGCAGCCATTATGAGGTAAGAAAAGTACACTTTACATTCATATGTAACACTGCTAATTAAGTTGCTCCCATAATTTTGATATTACGTTTATGACTGGGATAAGTTATATCGTCTTCCCAGTCATAAGTTTGTTACAGGAAAACCTAATATTCAGTATGTACGCTTGTCTCAATCACAGTGTTGTATGTCAAGCGTGCATTCGTGTGTGTGTTGATGGCGCAGTGGTTGTGGTACGGTATGAGCCGTGCAAGGCAGGCATCAGGCGACGAGTCGCCACTACTGCAATCCAGTGGACTTCCCAAACATCACACCACATTTACTGGCTTGTCATTTAATTTATTTTTTATTAACACACAATACAACTGTATAAAGTAATGTACACTCTACCCAAAAGTATCAGTCCCTTTTCTCATCAATACAACGCGTGACAATGGACGAAAATTTCCGATCACTAATTGTGATTCCTGCATTATGCTAGTAGGCCTGTCTTCCTAGTATCTGTGAGGTTGCCGGTTATTATTTCTGGCATTTGCTGTAATTATGGTGAATCACCGTGCTCCATCTTTAGTAGAATAATATGATGATATTACTGTAGCGAAAATATATCAACGGCAGTCAAATAGTGGGTGTTTTCTGACCAACACTAGTAGCCGAGACTCAATGGAAAACACAGCTTGTACCGACAGACATGGAGAAATGTCGCTTTCCGAATAACAGTACAGCTATAAATCAATGTTTGTTAGCTATCTCTTTGTTGCTTAGGCCTATATCGTGAAGGGCGATAATACTGCCTTGTGTTGCCTGTGATGTCTCCATAGTGATTGTCAATCACATGAGAGTACTTGGCAACATCGTCTCGTAGTGTGTATCAGATAATGTTCCGTGGCCAGCGCGTATCATGAGATGATACGTTATATTCATAATAGTTGCCTCATCAATTGAGGTAGAAATAATATTGAAATGCAGTAAATCATAATGTCATTGTACAGTAATTGGATATAGCATCATAATACACCTGTAATTACTATACTGTATTTGCAAATGAATAAAACATCGGATCATAGCGTTTCATATTTTGTTCGAAGCGATTGCATTGTAACCTCGGTTAATGAAACCTTAGTAACATATATTCCTATTTGGCAGCCCATCCCCTGGGGCTGAAATAGTATCTAAGGTGCATAAATCAGCAGGGTTACACTTGACATTATTGGTTTTGCATATGGTATTACAATTCATTTTATTTCATTACAATATGTAGAGAATAGATGGTACTGTATATTGTAGATATCATGGTGATCATCAGATGCAAGAAGGAAGAACGAAAAGTGCAACTCACAATCAGAAATACCAACTGCACCGACACTGCTGTGCACGTGTTATTGTGTTCATTTCCAAATACTATTCTTTCGGGAGAGTGTACATACCTGTGTAATATTTAGAGGGCTTAAATAAAGTTTTTTCTACATTCGCAGGTGTCCCAGGAACCTATCCCTTGTGAATGTTGAGGTACTAGTGCATATATCTCAGAAGTAAAAAAATTTCATCAGGAACCCATCTCTTTATATGCAATGGTATAATGACCCCTTAGAGCACTGTTTTGGATGGCTCGCTATTATCCAGGAACGTATCCTGAGCGCTAAACAGAATATTACCGTACTGTATATTACTTATGGTACGAACTTATACTGTCCAATAATTTAAATAACTAAAATTGCTCAATTTGAGACTAAATAAGCAAAAGATCACTAAATTAACACTATACCACCACCCGCATAAGCTAAAACTAGGGTCACATTTCAACCAATTGCATAAGTGATAACCGAGCATGCGAGAACTGTATAAAATGAGACCCCACTGTATTAATATTTTCCTCACTGTCTGCCATCAACAGACTTCAGATATGAGTACAGACAGCCGTTACGACATAATAAAATTGACAACTTAAAAACTAACATATTTTTATTACAACATAATAACATTACCGGTACTTGCTGATTTGAATAATCAATAATTTAATGTTTTGTTACAGAACATTTCATCCCAAATCACACACCTGTCAGGGTAAACAACACAGTGTGGGGGACCAAACTAAACTCTCAAAATAAATATATAATAGATAATAAAGTAAATTAGGGCCTGGTATATCTCTTTAGTTACAGAATATCAACCTTGTGATCCATCTAGTCTGTAGAGTACAGGACAGTCTTATATCACAATATTATATTGTACTAGAGCTGTATTAACAAATATTATTTACTGTTATGTAAATGCATACAGCTGTAGACTGCATGCTATTCCACAATACCTGTATTTACTTTCACGCAATGTTTTTGTTCCCAAACAATGAGAACTAGTTACCCTGCTGTACATAAAAATCTACACATAAATTTAGAACATTACCTGGCACTGGGATTAGGCCGAATATGTCGCCAATGTTGAATCTGTGCACGCAAGGACTCCCAAATGATCTTGAGGATATTGCCCAACACACTGCCCTCAGGTGGCACAATGTGATAACATGGCAAAAGTATAATAAACATGATGAGAGCCAGGAGAAGGCAAACTGTAAGTACAGAACAAAGAATTAATAAATTAATAAATATACCTAGATCAAGGTTCAATCCCAGGATTAAGTGGGCACTACTGTAGTGATAATCCCTATATTGTATCACCAGTAGCTCAAAAGTCAAGTCTACTCAGATGAAATTTCCAATACTGCTCAACAACAACATCCATTGTCCAATATGTTCTATATGAAGCGTAAATCACAACCAAATAGTTTATTTAGTCATGCCAGTTCAGGATTTGAGCCATGTTCCATGGGAATTTCAGTTACAATGATATATGGGTGCAATACATATGGTATATATTTGTTAATTAATATGAAACAATAAATGTTTATCCCCAAAATTATGTCAAGATAAAACTAGGGTAGAAATGATAATGGTGTACAGTACACACTTCATACAGACTCACATCCTTTTTCCAGAATTGGCCTTAAAGCATCATAGTACAGGAAGATTCTTATCTAAAAAGGTAGGTTGCTGACTATCTCTCCATTTTAACTTTTCCTATCTATTAAGATTTTCTTTATAAGTGCCTGAACTATTTTTTCATTTTTTGACAGAAGAAAATGTCCAAGATCATTTTAGGCTCCAGTACTTTATTTATCAAGACAATCTCTCCCCAATGAACCAAATCCTAGCTTACCACCACAGGAGCATCATCTGGTATTTCAGAAAAAAGCTGCTCAACCATCCTCAGCAGTGTGACCTACTACCACCTGAGGTTCTCCCCTTCAACCACCAGTTCAACACTTCAACCATATTAAACCCATAAGAGCTCATACCAAATGATACAAACTGACCTTCTCTGTCACTTTCTACATTAGTCTTACACCACTCTCCCTTACTGCTTTCTCTACTTTCTCTAGATTCTGCTTCAATAATCCACCCCTAATAAAAAAAAAAAAAAAAGCAAATTTACCTGAGGAAATAAGGTATCCACAAAAGAAACCATTGGTACAGATCCCAGGATTGTCTTGTTCAATGTATGTGATGACTCCAACACCAACCAGACTGCCTAGGTTGATGCACCAATAAAACCAGTTGAAAAATGACCGTGTCTTCTGTGGATTTGCTGTATTTAGCTGCAGGGAAGAAATTTTAATTAAGTGTTTAAATGCACATGGATACACAACACAGTATTGGTTGCTCAGGAATTTATTTTTAATGTAATGTATTGTTGTAGTAACGTGTGACCAGGATCAGTAGAAACATTTAACGTAGAAATGGCATGAAACTGAGTAGCCGACTCGCCACCCAGTAGCACTCAAGAGTGGGTAAGGCTGAGCTGTGAGCTATATTTATGTTAATTCATAATTCAGGGTAAATGTACACAATTTTCTTCATTTTCTTTTGCTCTCTTACATGCACACATTATCATTTATACAGAATGTGCAAACAAAATAAACAAAATAATCATCATAAGATCAAAATCATTAAAGGAATTAACAGTTCTTAAGTGGTTGGCAGTTAGCCGACAGAGCAGGGTAGGGAGAGTGAGGAGCGGCGTGGGGGTTTTCTCAGCTGTTCTGTGTCTCATGTTCGTGGAAATGATTGCCAAATAGCAACACAGTATTTGTTTCTTTTCTTTAACTGTATTATTATTATTATTATTATTATTATTATTATTATTTTTATTATTATTATTATTATTATTATTATTATTATTTCCATTTATTCTTCACATTTAGAGTACTGGTATAGTATATACTGTATAATTATTATCATGTACTGTACAAAGAATAGCTTCTTCTACACACAATCCATCCTTTGGGTGATGTGACAGTTCAACTGCTTAATCTGGCAATCACAGGGGATGGGCAGAACCTCCTGAGTGGGTCGCATGTGTTACGCCATTCCGACATTGCATCATGATATCTTCGAATATGGCAAGCTAATGCACATCAGTTTTTCATAGTAGTGACAATGCAGGAAAAGCATTCGTAAAACTGACCTTTAGCCTATGCACAGTGTTAAATGCTGTTAATTTTTTTTATCGTAAAACTGATCGAGCATACAGTATATTAATCCATTGTATAACGGTCATTGCCTGTACTACAGTAGAACGTCAATATAACACGAGATACGTTCCAAGAGAGGTCGCTTTAAACTGAATTCGCACGAAATCGAAGTGTTATTTCAATGGAATAATTTAGTTTTTTGGTACTTGAGAGAAACACAAAATACTAAAAAGACTGAGAGTCTACCCAGATGCACCTCAGCCCATCTACTAGAATAAGCAAAACATTGGGTTTTTTTTGTGAAGTCTCTCCTCGACTTACGACGGGGTTCCTTCCTGATGACCAGGTCGAAAGTCGAATTGGTCGTTAGTCGAAAATGCGAAAATAATACAGTACATAGAAATTCTAAAATGGGTGTCTCTTTTTCCTCTCAGCATCACGAGAACTCTCACTTTTATGCCTGCCAGCCATTTTAAAGGGAATTACAAAAAAAAAAAATTGTCAGTACACAGCGCATGCAGTCGGTACTAGAAAATACGTAATTTGAAAAATATTTTATACGACCATGGCGGTCGTATGTCCGGGTTGTCGTAAGTCGAGTACAGTATGTCGTAAGACGAGGAGCACCTCTATTATGTTAAAACAAACACTCATAAATCATCACAGCTAAAATTATGGGACTTGAAATGGTCTGCTTACTAGCGATCAGCTGATGTGAAGATTTGGAGGGAAGGGGAGAGGTGAGGTGATATGTTTGACAGTTGATGCCAAGGTCTAGTGCTTATTTATTTATCTATCCTTAAGAGTGACTAAGTTTTTCTTATATAAAATGTCACTGAACTGACATGTCCTAATTAATTTTATTACAAAAGGCTAAAATTGTTACCTCTTGTGCAAAATATATGACTTTTATATTTAATTTATTCACTGTCTTGCAATGATACTAGCAATGCAAATTATATTCTTCTAACTTTAGTCTGTGATATTATATAAGATAAAAACTGTAAGCCTAAAACCACCAAACCCTGGCTGGGAAGATGGGGGGGGGTGGAGGTGACAGTGACACGTTTGACAGTTGGGGCCGAAGGTCTAGTGAAGTATTTACTTGTTTCTTTATAGTTAGGTAAACTTATTATGTAAACCATCTCCCATCAGAAATGAATGGCATCCAGGTACAAGCATAAAAATTCCTCATCACACACCTGTTCAGCGCCAAATGGAGCGATGTTACTCTTCACAATGCCAACACCCAGACCTACAATTGTCACAGATAAGTAAACTGCTACTTTGCAGGGAGCATTGGGAAGACCATTTGGATCATCACCTGGAAAATTTATGTGAACTGTTATCACAAGCACAATCAACAAATATACAGTATAATATCCAATACCAATAAAAACACAAAACCAATGTGGTAAATACATGATAATTTAACTCAATAAATCTACATATCTATCTAAACTTAAATATCAGCCTGTTTTCAGAATTAAAAGTACTGTACAGAAATACCAAAATTTGACTTTTAGCATGTGAGTTTGACCACCTCACATTCCGTGTGCTGCTGTCACCCGCCACTCAGCCACACGGCGGGTGAGTCAGCTGTTCAGTCCACAACCACACATACTTGAATGTAATAGATTGCTTTTAAATGTTGGCTTGGCATATTAACATTACTCATGCACATATAATTTTTATCATCTACCCGGTAGTTACTATATTAAGTTTTAAATTTTTAATCTCACTAATTCATTGAGTTACTTGGTAGATATAAGTAATGTACAGGTACTGTAAAATAAAAAAAAATGTAGCAACTTTGCATCAGGTGGCTGGCCAGCCACACACACTGTGAATGGAGAATTTACTTTGCTTATACATAAATATTTATGGCACTTGATACAGCTCATGAATTCTGGTATTTTAACACTATTAGTTTTAGGGAGGTGCTCTCCAGCAAGACGCTCGGGGTCTGGCTGGTCACTGACCTCACCACACGAGAGAGAATTGTATGTAATGAGTCATAGCAAACTTGCTATTTGAGATAAAAGGTGGGGTTTGTTGCATTAGCATTATAAATAAATTATCTACAAACTGTTTTATATGAGTAATCACAATAAAATAATTATTTCTATACGTAAGTGCGAGTAGAAATAAAAAAATTTACGTTTAATGAAAATGTTTATACATCTTTATACAGGTTGTACCCCTCTAGTCCGGCAACCTCGGGACCTGACCGGTGCCGGACCATGGAAATTCACCCTTTTCCTGGACAGATAGTGACTTGCGCTTACGTTTGCACCAATTTCACTGCTTCGTGGTCTCTTTGAAGACATATTGAAGGGTTAAATGTCTTACAGCAGCTTCTTAAATTTCGAGAGTTTTTAATTCAACGTTTTTTATTTGGACACCAAAAAAAACACTCCATAATTTAAAATTTTGATGGCGGAAACTCGAATTTCAACGGCCCGCCAACGTTCAGACGACGTGCACAATCATGTAAACAGCATCATTTCTCTTATGTACAAAAGATTCATTACTGTATTGTTTATTACTGAATGTCTTTTTTATTGAATTAATGTTTATGTGTGCAAAATGAGCAATACAATTCATTAATAATACGTAGAATATTAAAACACACGAGGAAATGAGTCAGCATTGTTTTCGTTGATTACAAAACCAGTGACTGATTGGTTCTACATATAAAAAAGAAAATAAGACCCTGGTTGTAGCTGTAGTAAAATTAATGTAAAATTAATATGGTTGTTTGAAGTAATGTTATTTAATGTTAATAAATGGAACAATATAAGTAGCTAACCATTAATGTTAAAGAAAAAAGTGAGATCGCGTATGTAAGTGCGCACATGTGAAAACATATCGTCATTACTCTACATAAGAATATGAAAGCAACACTTATTTACTGTTCATATATATTGAAGGGTTAAATGTTGTAATCTGTATAGACAAACAGAGAGAGAGAGCCGAACTGCCGGATGTAAACAAACCTTAATTTCCCGCGTTTTTTTTTGTTTTTTTACGGGGATTAGCCCACCTGGGCACAGGTCACTGACCCACATTGGAGCCTGAGGGGCGAAAATTTAATACTCCTGTAATAATAATAATAATAATCAGATAAGTAAAAAAAAAAAAAAAAAAAAAGCTGGTTATCTACCTATTGGGCAAACTAAAATCGTTCCGGACCACGGGAGTTTCCGGACCATAGAATGCCGGACTAGAGAGGTACAACCTGTACATTCGTTATTTCACGTGATTGCAATATAAACCTTATTCTGTTATAAACTGTACATGTTAAGCAAAAAATAATTACAGTGGTCCCTTGGTTAACGAACGCCTCGGTTAACGAAATTTCGGTTAACAAACTGCCTCCCATAAGATTCTTAAATTCGGTTAACGAACAAAAATTCGGTTAACGAATTTCTTACGAACCGACCTCAACATGTTTTCGCTTGCACTGGACGGTCAACCAGCTTTAGTATTAGTCCGCCAATACATTAATCGGTTCTAGGGCTAGAATTCCTTACTATTTTAGTAAATATCAAGAAGTTTATACTATTCAATAATTATAAAAGTTTAATATTAACTTTTTTAGTCATTTTAACAATTATTGAACATAATTGAAGGTAAAGAAACTAGTTTCTGGCATGCCATCCAGCCTGGCAACACACCAGACAGGAGTTAGTCTCTCTCTGTTTTCAGTGGAGGTAACATCTTGCTTGAGACTCTCTTCAACTAAACGCTTTTTTTCTGTGTTTCCAAGCAAATTATTGGTCATTTTGAAATATATTTTACATATTGACAATATATAATGCAGTGCAGTGTTGACTTAAAGAAAATAATCTTGAAATACACCAAGAGAACTAAAATTTTATGGGTGAAATGGCGCCATGGGGTGACTTCTCTTCCACCCCAATGCCTTCTCTTCTCCCTTCTCCTCCACCCCCAATCTAATTCCCATCATCATCATCATCCAGGAGCCTTCTACATACACACCTCAAAGTAAGTGAACTTTTCTACCATTTTTGTTGAATTTAGGCAATTTTCGGTGAGCTGGAACCAATTACCCAAAAACCCATTGAAACAATTGTTTCGGTTAACGAACAACCTGCTGGAACGGATTGTGTTCGTTGGCCGAGGGACCACTGTATAGAAGTAAAGTTGTGAAAAAAATAATATTTTGCGAGGAAACAATGGTGTAAATTGTGTGTTCTGATGAGCACAACCAGGCCGATTATTAATTTCTTCCCTTCGAGCGCAAAAGATAATTGCACATATTGATTCACAGCAAGCTTACTATTGGAGATAAAAAGGTTAGGTTTGTTGCATTAGCTTTGTAAATACATTATCCACAAATAGTTTAATACTGTATAGGTAATCACAATAAAATTATTATATCTGTACATAAGTGAGTATAACACAAATTGTAGTGCATGGCTGCCACTCAAGCTCCCAAATGTGATTGTTCCTCACTCAAAGTTTCTTTATTTTTACAGTAAAAGTCCAAAAATCTGGATGCCAGAAATCCGGACCACCCGAGAATCCGGACTTTTCGAAAACTAATTATTTTTTTTTTTTTTAGCGGGCTTTTGTGTGTATGTGCGCATGCGTGAGCGCCACAGCTGCACAGTGACAACAAGTGACCACGTGGTTGCCACTTTAAAACGAGCAATCAAACTGTGACAACATACCGTATATACTCGTCTATAACCCCCCTTGTTTATAGGTCGACCCTGATTTTTTGACCAAGAAATCGTTAATTTATGATATTCCTCGTTTATAGGTCGACCCACGTTTTTGAGGGTAATGGAACAACAAAACCTTCAGTAAAAACGCTCTACGTCCTATAAACTGAGGCTCGCCGTGCCTGAAACACGAATGCCGAAAGCAAATTGTTTACCATTTATTATTACAACACTTTACACTGAAACGCGGGTAGTTCAACAAAAATATTGTATATTTCCATTCAAGTATTTATTCAAGTCAATTAGGAGGTAATATTATTGTAATACAACAGTTTTTTAACTAAACCATTCGAAAAGCGATTACGGTAACATCTTTTGAACGAAAGAAAGCGAGTCATTGTTTTCGTCACGATTTTACCCCACTTTCCACTGTAATACGTACGTAATTTCAGCAAAAATATTACATTTCCGTGAATGTATTATATCAAGCACAGTATGAATAGAATATCATTGTAATATAACAATATTTTGAGTCCTACTCTTTCCATTTACAGAGTACTGTACAAGCCTATAATAATGGCTC